GTGTTTCTTTTGCATAAAAGGGAACAGATGTAGCCAACCTCATGAGAAACAGAGCTGTGACCTGCTGTGAGTTCCCACCGCGCAAAGTTTCTTTCAGATCTGAGAAGTTGCTCCAGCTGAGTCAGAATCTTCCTCTGGTACCACCACGCCTCTGCAGATCCAGATTCAGATCTGGGTTGCCGTAGGCTACATTCTACCATGTTTCATTTAGTTACTGTATTGGCAAAATATCTTCAGACTTTGCAAACTGCTGGAAATCTGACTGCTAGCTGAGGAGCTCTGCTCTATGGATCAACAGAAACTGTTCACAAACTGGTTCTGCCCCAGAGGCTGCTGGTGTATCTCACATGGAGAATCAAGCCTTGTCACTTTGCCCAAGTTTTGGATGACAAAAGAGCTTGCAAATCTTCCTGCTGTACTTTGAGGTATAACTGTAATTGTGTTTGCCCCAGAAGTAACTCCAGTGGCAACAGGGTAAAGTAGAAAGTCTGATCTTTCAACTGAAGAATAAATGTGACAAAGTAGCTCTTGTGAGCTTGTACCAACTTAACATAAGGATGTGCTGTAGCGAAGAGGAAGTAGGCTTCTGATAGTAACAGGCTAGGTGAAGAATAGAGAAGAAATACTGACATGTTTGTTGCTGACAGAGGATTTCTAGATGAATTCCTGTATCTCCTAATGAACTAAAGTCTTCAGGCCAGGCCAGATACGGGAGCTTATAAATCCAAACAATATCTTGGGTAAACAGTACAGTAAGTGGTTACGCACTGTATTTCTTCTGCATTGAAGTAAGCAGCACGCTGACATCCATTGCAGTTACTATATATTGATGCAAGTGTTTCAGGGAATCCTGGTGTTAAGGGCTGGAACAAACCCAACTAGCCTGATGGGGCATGTCCCCATTGGCGTTCTTGTTGCCTGTCACCCCATACTAGAGTCATTTGCTCAGTGGTGTTAGTTATTCTGAGTTCCAAACCAGATCTTTATTAAAGCTTCCAGGAAAGCAACAGCACTGTGGACATCAACAGGGCCTTCAGCATCAAAGCCACAGAATAAAATTATAGATGTAAAAGACCTGTTAGGTCATCTGCTCAACCTATCAGCCAATGCAGGATTGTTTTCTGTGATGTGCTTTTTCCCTTCTTTGTCTGCAACAAGCCAAAGGGGTTTCCACAGCTTCCCTGGGGAGACTATGACATAGCTGACTAGTTCTTGCCCTTAGGAATAACTTTGAGTCTGTGAAATAACAGAAGCATTCTAAGTTTCATTTTGATGGAGAAAAGGAACGCTGAGAGAAGGACCCCGAGTCTTATGACTATACTGTATCTCAGATGTAGTTCTATATTAATCACTTCTTGTATACAGATCATATGAGGCTAACAGTGCGTCCCACCCCACAGCTGTCTCTTTCAGTAATTACTCCTTAGACAGATTTTGTCATCTTTCAATAGTAAGTAGTGCACAAACCCTGAACAATTGCATTTCACTTGGCAAACATTCAGAATGTGCCCTAACTAGTGTTTGAAGTGTTCTGTCTGACTGTCGCTCCTTTTAACTGTGCCAAAGTTCTTTGGCAATTAGTGATCTGATGTCCCAGAAACCCATAAAAATTAATTCCAACATATTTTATTTAGGTGAATTAAAAACAAACGGATGTTTACTAAAAACAACTGCACTTATAGATAGAGGACTCTTGACAGCTATTGATTTAAGACTTCCAAATGTTTTCATTCAAATCCCTTGGGCACCTACTCTTGATCAATCATAAGTTTCTGACATCTTGATCTCTTGCAAGGAAATGCTTTTGGCCACATATATGAACGTGCTTTTTCACCTTAGGTATTGGGCTTTAACAAACATGAATCCAATTATTTTTTTCAGAGGGAATAAAATACTTCCATAGCTATTAAAACATGCAATCCTCTGACTTTTCTTGAAGATCTATGTGCATATAAACTGTTGAAGCTGACTATGGAGACAGTTTTAAAGAATGCCAGTACCCTTAGCATTCTGATGAGGGCTGTATTGGTTTCACAGTTCTCAGCTACTGAAAATTATATTTAGCATGCAGGATAACTTTAAAAATATTAGTTGTAGAACTATGGAAGGCCATGATTAGTACCATTTTGTGATTGTTTGAGTTGTGCTTCACACAATGAGCAAGGACTCAGAAGAAGCCTTTGTCTGACTGCCACTTTGGCTATGGAGAAAGGGGGGAAATCTGAATACCCAACGTGTCTTTGTTAGCAGTTGGCTGTCATTTTCTTTTGTTTAGCATTTGCACAGTGCTCTGTGTAATGTAGGAATATAATAAAGCTTTGCCAGCAACAGCACCAGACTTTAGGAACATGCACAGGCCAGTGAGACTATGTAATGTGCTTTATCATGAGGCAGCAGTAGAAGAGGCAACTTAATAGGCGTATGATGGAGTTGTAACAGAAAGGGTTTTCCCCTGGGCTGTTGGCATTATGTGTTAGAGTACTGAACCAGGAGTTTTGCTCTTAGGTCTAATTTTGATTCTAATGCCCAATTTGTAAGCACTTTGCCTTTGCACCAGTTAAACAGAGCTTAAATTATTTCTGTACTGTTCATTAGAAGTGAGCAAGTTTCACATGAATCTTTCAACTATCTCTTTAAACGCTGCTACCATTGCCTGCTAGCTGATGGCACACCTGGAAAATGAAAGTTTGGCAAACCAGGAGGTAGAGATCAATGAGCAACGGACATGAGGTGAAAAGGTGCTATCCAGGGAGACCCTAAGGGATCCTAAGATGTAAGTTAAGCCTTAGCTTTCTCCACACCTACTCTATTTGCACAGTCACAGTATTTGTAATAAACCCCAGTATCATTCCTAACCTGGGTTAGTACCAACCCATGTTGTCATCATTAACAATCCTACCACAGCCAGACAGCCCTGGTTTCAGTGTTGCATTGTTTTTGCTGATCTGTGGCTCTAGAGGCACTCAGTGTTCTCCAACAGCTCAAATATAATGGAAGCTGGAGGAGTAACCCATTTGCTGGGCAGATGTTGCTAGCACGCTGCTTTATCAGTGCATGTTGTTGCACACCAGCCCAACACTGGGATAAACTTGACTCGTCCAGACAGCCATGGCTGTGGCTTTGCATGAATTTCTTTAGCCTGAGTGCCAGCTTAAACAGACCCTATCCCTCTCCTCATCCAGCTGTTCTATTGTTTTGGCAGCTACTCAATATTTCTTGGAATAATTGCAAATGAGTAATAATTTTTCATTTAGCTTGTATGCAATCCTGGCATCAGTAATCATTTGCATGCTTTAATATATACATAGCCATGCGTTCAACACAGGTTCTGAACGTTTGAACAGCAAACTTCAGGAGTAGGGGGACAGAGGTGGAGTCCAATTTTTTATTAATATAGGTTCTCATAGTTTTAAAATCAACTTTATTAGCAGAAAATAATAATGTAAAAATAAATAGGCAGGTCCTGTTAGCAAGCAGGTGCCCAGGAACAGACAGGACTGAAAAATCCAGAATATCCTGTTATAGGAACCAAACTACTCAGAAGTGCCTGAGCTGTGTTTTTCTGCTCAGTCTAGGCTGTCCCGTAAATGCTAAGCATCTCGAAGGTCATCCAAATAAAAAGTAAATGCAAACAGAGGCTACTTCTCCCACACAGCAGACTTCCAGCCTGCTCAAGATACAATGGTGAAAGCTTGCCTGGTTTGACTATCAGTCAGTCTTACTCAGCTGGCATTTGGAAAAGTTATGAACAGCAGCCTGGGGGCTCTGTGCAGGTGACCTGGGATGGGACACAACATATGTCATGCTTCCAGAAATATGAAGCCCTCTTTAAAGCTGCTCTTAAAGCCTCTCTCAGCTAGAAACTGATAACAAGATGTACAGCGCTGCACTTGGGTGAGGAATGATGTTCTGACAGTAATACCAGTACCTTGCTGCCTCCCTGGAGCAGCAGTTTGGCTTTTCATTTGGTAGCAGTCTGCCAGGCAGTGAGGGTTTCTAGTTCTTTCTGGAGAACTTTTATTAGTTTAATTGATATGATTAATATAAAGAAAAAAACCCACCAAACTAAAAAACCAACAAACAACCCCACCCCAAAACCAAAAAAACCTCACCAAGATGATGAAGTGGGAGCTCTCAGTCTGTTCTGACTCAGCTGTCTCCTTCTCATGTCTAGGGAGGGCCATGAGTTCTCTGTTGCCGGACCCATGATTTCCTGGCATTGTCACAACTCCTTTTTCAGTTTTCTCACATTGCTAATGCCTTAATGCAAGTTGAGAAGAAAGGTAAGAACAGGACTGAAATGTCATACCTTCTCCCCTAACAAAAGACCTCCTCCTTTTCTCTGACTGCTGCCAGCCTATGCATTGCTATGATACGTTGTCATAGGATAGGACAGACAAAAAAAATTATTCTTGCGGAATTTACATGGCTTGAATCACCTGTAATGCTGACAGTTTGGCTCACTGCCAGCAGTAACTTCTAACATGGAGGTGTAGGAAAATGAGACTGGTGTTTTGTGTTTGCTGCTGTGAAAACCTGTCAGGTGGGGTTCCTTGATGCTGTCCTGCACGCTAAGGAAGGGTACCTGTAATTGGGCAGTGACCAGAGTGCAAGCTAGTGCAAGCAGGAAGGTTGTGGTCAGGACTGAGGAGCGTTAGCAAGGCAGCACTGGATACTACCTGCTGCCACGCTTGCTAGACATGGCACAATCGGCTTAGCTGCAAAGGAAAGGGGAAGTCTTCTTCCAACTAGGACACAGTTATTTTGTCTTGGACACTTGGAGACAACCTTTTGGACTACGAATCCATAAACCACAAAATACTCATGTTAAAAGAATCTGGACAAAGATATTACATTCATGACTGCTTGTTTTTTCTTTTTCCTTTTACAAAACAAAAACAAACAAATTCCTTTGCTGTAATCAATAGTAGTCAAAAGATAACTTTCTTCAGTTCAAGGCTATCGGCTTTAAATGTTAAGGCTACAAGCAATACTAATTGATACAAAGCTTTTATTTCTGTTACAAAATTTACTATACAAATGTTTCCTAAAAAGCCAATGATTAATATTACATTTTTGTGACATAATGAAAAAACAATCAAAATCTAAGGGGAAACAAGTAAGTGTGCCTATACAGCTCACATATGTTTATTTAAGCATATTTTACGTATTAAAATACAGTAGTTACTTTCTGGATGAGGGCTCTCAAATTATAAAATTAATCTGTCGGGTTTTCAGGCTTGGCAGGGTAAAAAGTTTTCTTGCTGTGTCCTAACAGAGTAGGGGAAAAGCATCCTTCAGCAGTAAAGAGCTAAATAACCACACAGTTAATGGAGGGAAAGTTTAGGAAAATAATTACGTTAATTCACTTCAGACCTGATCCTGCAACCTTCAACCATGCAATGACATTCTTTGCCCAGCAGCAGACCCAAATTTACACTTTGCAGAATCGCATCCTCACTGAGGTAGAGATTGCCAAATAGCTTTTAGTGAGGGAATTGCCATGCGTGCCAATTCTAGAAACCAGTAAGGCAGTACAGTCTGCCCTATATTTTCAGACTTTTGGTACCTTACATAACTAGGTGCAAAATACTTATTTTTATTTCTGATTCTTTTCCTTGGAAGTGCAGTCATGTGCAATCAGGTGGAATAAGTGTGCTGATAATTTTCCTTCAGAAATTGTAATGGTTAGCGATGTGGACACTTTTCTTTTTAGGCAGAAACCATGAGGCACTGAAGCAAGCATTCACTTTTCTTGCACTTGAGGTCACAAATTTATGCAAGTCAAAAATGTTGGGCCTGCCAAAAACATCATGCTACACTCCACCAAATAAAAGGACACTGTTATTCTTACAAGGAAAGGTTTGACAGGACAGGAAATAGGCAGGGTCATAGAAGTTTACTTAATACCGAAACTTATTTAACCATCTTTAAGCAAGAATACAATGATAGTTATATAAAAAAAAAAATTAGAAGGGGGGGAGGGAGGGAAGACAAATACAAGAGCACCAGACTGCGCTACTACAGAAACTAGGGAACCTTAATAAAAATTAATATAATTCAGGTTACTATATGTCACCTGCCTCTACTGGGTTAACATGTATTAAGTAAATTTTAATTTATGTCCTGAACTTGCAGCAAGAGGCATCTGATTTGAAGAATCCAGTGCAGAGTTTACCAAGCTATACGCTGCTTTCATTACAATGCAATCCTTAAGTAGACTGCATTCCACTTAAAGGAATGGAGGGAGGGGGAGTAAGAAGAGAGTGAATATGAAAGATAGGAAAAATGTTGCTGTTCATTACAATTTTCCATTTTTGTTGAAACACAGCAGGAGAGCAAAGCCACAGGCTTCTCTACTGCTCTTGCATGCCAGGAGGGATTATGCAAACACTGCAACCACCCAAATCTTATTTAAATTATAGTCATTGTTCCCCCTTTAATGGTTATACTTTTGCCTGCTTTCACTCAAACATTGCTGCATCTTGCTTTCCGCCAACATAGTCCCAATGGGAGTCATCAACTCCTAATTATAGATGAACAGATCTTTGAAAAAATACCTCTGGAAAAAAAGTGGAAAAGAAAGCAAACTTTAAGTGCCATCTAGTGGCTGATCTACTAAAAAACGTGAAATAAAAAATTCTTAACATGCCACAGAGTAATATAACTGTAGCTGAACTGAGGAAGCAGTGCTTAAATTCACAACCGCTAAAGACCAGGTTAATACTTTGGGGAACCAAGAAAAGGACTAAAGATCAATGGTATTATTACCATAATTTTTCTTCTAAGATTTTTGTCTGTAAGTGGAGAGTTCAAATGGTAGGAATTGTCTAGTGATCACCTGTTCCTTCAAGACACTCAGCAGCTTATCAGCGTCTGCCTTGGTAAGGAAATACAAGTTGTCATATGTATTTCAGTCCAAATTAGAACCCTTTCAGATCTCAAAATAGAATCCACACCATGGGGGTGAATCTGGAGCCAAGCATCTGAATTCAAAAGTTAGCATTCTCCTCCAAATTCACCTGGGGTTGAAGGCCAGATTTTCTCTTACCTCTATTTGTAACGGGTCAAATCCATTTCTAAAAGAAAGGAGGCAGATTGTTAGTTAGTAATGTCCTTTTCCTTTCCCTGCAGGAAAAAGCCATCTTCTGCTACAGATGAGAATTCCCAACAAATTATTTTCCATTACAAAAGCTCCACATTCCATTTACATGAAGGACGTTCCACAAGATCATTCCCCAAGCTTTAGGTAACTCTTCTTGGAGATGACATGTCCCTTCCACAACAGTAGTTGACAGTCTAAACTTAAATAGCTTTGTCTGGACCTGTTCAGTGACAATGGAGAGCAGCTCAACATAATTTTTATTTAATGTAATTTTCTTTTTTTTTGCAAATAGCATTATACTTTGGACTTGCTTTGGAGCTTTACATCTCCTCAGTTTCATAGCTATAGTGAGCCTTGGGGATCACACCTCAGCGACAGGTTCTGGAGACATGAATCTCTCTAGATAGAAGTAAGACCTATGCATGTTAGTGTCTAGCTTCTCATGAGGTTACTTGCTCAAGCATGTTGTTCGGTCAATGACACACTTAGCCAGTTTTTCATTGAATTACAAAAATAATTTACGACGAGTTAATTTAGGCAGGATAGATCTCAAAGTAATGAACAAGATCAACGTGTTTCCCAGTCCTTTCTTCCTTTTGCTAATATAGAAATTTTTAAACATTCCGATTTTTGTTTAAAACAGGATCAAATGTGCTAATTAAAACTTAAAGTGTACCTTTATAAAGAGGGAAATTTAAACCTTGCTGAAGATGTGCCAGTCTGTCTTCTTCCCCTTGCTTATAGGGAGAGGGTGAATTGTACAAGTAAGAGCCAGGGGAAGTTAAAAACTAGCTTCTGCAACAGATACTGTTCTGTGCCTTCTGTGTATATTTACCAGATACCAAGATAAAATACTTTCGTAGCATAGGTGATATTAATGGAAAAAGGGAACATTAAAAGAATTTTGAGGGTATTGCTTTTCGTATTAATGAAATTGTGGGAGTTTTGTGGTTTTGTTTTTTTTTTTTTTTTTTAAAAGGGAGATGCAGGCAGCGTGGTTTGAACCAGAAAGTAGCAAATACTGTTGTAAGAACTCTCTACTCACTACCAAAACAAAAAGTTCCTACAGGTTTCAATACAGGCCCTGGTCTGCAGTAGCAAGCATCAACTCAAGAGCTTTCAATACATGGGTATGTAACGCTTGCTGCCTGGTTAGAAGTATTTGTCTTCTATAGATTTGCTACTCGTATTGAAGCAAAACCCCAACACTATAAAAGGAATTACCAGGATTTGTTACCCTAGCACAATGGTTTGATGCACAGGGAGGAGCTCAGTGTAGAGGTGAGCTTGAAAGCTTGAAAACATTTCCATTGTTTCAGATGGACAGACTTTTCCAAGGTCCTACTGGGAAGAGCCTTGCAGTAATCTTAAACTCATTACATGCTGCTCTACTTAAGTATTGAGAAACGATGAAAAGGAACTCAACTATACCAATTTTCAAAATAAGTGAGCCCTTTTTGGTAATGACACTTAGATAACTGTATGTTGACAACTTACAGCAGGCATGGATCTGTAAATTTATGTTTCTTTGTGCGTCTGAGATTGCTAGAAAAAGCACTATCTCAGAAGCTAATACTATTCCTCCTTATCTCAGAATCTGGACTATTAGTATTACTTTCAAAAATGGAAATTAGATCAATTTCCAACAGGTACAACACATTGTACATGCCAACAGAACTTAAACTTTTTCCTTGTAGGTTGCTGTTCCAAGCAAGATCATCTTGTAGTATCTTTTAAAAAGCACTTGCATCAGTGTATCCCCTGCTGTTTTTTTCCTTTGGGGGCAGGAAGAGAAGAAAAGAGGAGCAGCAAAACTTGCTCTCAACTTACAGTCCAGCAAGAGGAAAGAGCTTTACACAAAAGGATCACAGTTATTTTAAAAGACCTTTAAATAGCCTTTGGTAACTGAAGTTCCTTTTTGGCAGGTTACAGAATGGAAGAAACTTAAGTGTCAAGATCAGCTTTTCCAATTCATTTAAAACTTCATTGGTATGATGTGCTTCTTGCTTACAATAGGCTTTTGGATGGTAAGCCTGCTTATGAAGGTCTGGGTATACAGATATAAGCACAGTGTTGTGATGGGGGGGGGGGAAGGCAGAAAGGACTGATAAGCATCTAATGCACATGGAGGGAGAGACTTCTACCCTAGTCAAAGATGAATGTACTTACTGTTTCAGCACTGCCATGTCAATGTAATGACTATCCTATGGTTGAAGGGGTCTGAATGCTGTCATATTACACTTTATTTTCCAGCTCTTTGGGGAAGGGGGGGTAAAATGTGTAAAACGTATAAAACGCGCAGTATTTTGGGCCTACTTCACTGGAAATGGTTAGTCCTAGACAAGGACGTGACACTAATACCAACAGGGTTGTTGTTATCCGAGACTACCAAGGAGAAGAATGCTGTGAACATCTTAGTCTACAAAAGGGCCTACCTTTCCACTGTTGAAACGCTACTTAAAGCACAGTGTTTCATACCTGTGACCTTTCAGCTAAGAAAATCTAAAAAGAGAATACAGACAGCTGCAGGAAAAAAAAATTATGTTTGAGAGCCTCACAGCCTTTTCTAATTCTTTTCTGTAAAGTGGCAAAATACTCAAGATTCTTTCCTTTTTGTCCCTTCTCTTGTGTGCACGTTCTTTCAGCTGAAAGCTTTTGAGTAATTTAAGAGGTTCCCACACTTAATGAAACAATCAGGTTCGGGACAGATTCCAAAAGTATGTTAACTGGTCAAAATAGAGCTGAAAAAAAACAATTCATGCACTGCTTCAATCATTCAGAATCTTTCTTCCATACAGTAACTTATTAATGAATTTGTCAACAAATATTTCAATAGCATGTTTTGTAGCATTTATTTACTATATAGAAGTTATTTCCAGATGAGTTGTGTTATTTAGCTCAAACACTGTATTGCCTGCTCTTTTAATAGAGAGCTGAAAAATTGGCTGTTTGAGGATCAGCTAAGGATCAAAGACAGAACTTTAGCTTTGAACAGAAACACACGTAGTTTGACAGGTTGTAGAAGATGCAATGTTAAATATCTTTGCCCTATTCTGACTTAGGGGTCAGAGTGTGAAGTCATATCGATACCTGTATTATCACCAATTCTGTATGAAATAGGCCCTCAGCCTGAAATACTGAGCTACATGGAAGATAGCTTTCAGAAGATTAACACAAACTGGCAAGGGAACAATCAGCCATTTTAGTTTAGGTGAGTAAAATAAAATAAAATCATTAAGTTATTTTTTTAATTTATTAGAGTATAATCAGCACATAAACAATGAGTTCTTATTACTGAGGACTGAATATCTACAAAAAGAAAAAATAATCCATCAACTAATCAATAAAGTCAGTCATGCATGTTTCCCTGTAATGCAGATGAATCCACTGCCTGTAAAAATAGACAAGAGGACAGATACAGAGAATTCTGAATAAAACTTGAATTTTATGTACTCCAAAATCCCACTTCTAATGCAAATGAAAATTTAGAAATAGCATAACAAAATAAAAAATATAGAAAGCATATTCAAATCATTTTCAGTTCTTTCCCGTAGAACCAAAGCCACCTTCGCCACGTTCTGTATCATCTAGAGCCTGAAAGACATCAATTATGATAAGTTGGTTTAGTGTCTTAACTTGCCTTTTGTTTCTACACAACAGGTATTGTCTGTCATAGAGGAAGGTACATTTACTCGTAACAATAGCTATAATTGAGAAACTAAACCAAACAGTTTGAGACATTTTAGAGTACCTTTTGTACAAGTTTAAACAAATCCCACATCGTGAGACAACTGTTTTCAGTATATACTGAAGTGTTTCTCAAGTACCTGTTAACTCTGAAAACTACCAAAAAAAAAAAATCCCTGTAAATGCATGCAAAGCATCAAGATTTTTATTCAGGTAGCAATGCTACTATGCAGTTTTAACACTGAAAGTTGTTTCAAAGCAAAGTATTTATCTATACCATAAATTTCAGCTCATATACAACTATCTTAAACTACTGATTATTGAAAATAGCAGAAATATTTTCTTTTGGCAACTTACTTGAACTTCTTCTAGCTCAGGATAGTAAATGCGTTCACAGATGAGCTGGGCAATCCTATCCCCTTTTTTAACTGCAATGAAGTTAAAATATTATTAGTTACTTCAAAAAAGTGAACAATCAATACAAAGTTTAGACAATCCCCTTTCAAGAGTATCAAAATGTACTAAAGTCTAAACACTTATTTGAAACTTAGTTAAGCAGATGTTAATAGTCCCAGAAAAATACAGGCTAAGATAAACTTGTGCTTAGTCCTTTTAAGGTGAAGTTTCAGCAGCAGTACCAGCTCAAGGCATCTCCCCTCACTCCTGCTGCCATACTGTGGCATCTTAAGTGTCATTATGCATAAATACTGCAGAGATGGAGAGGCAGCTGTATGCATAGTGTGGCTCCTTTTTTAAACTAGACCCAGAAACTGATTTCTCTGGGGGGAAAAAAACCCGAACTGATAAAAGGAAAACAAAATTTCTGATTAGTACCCAATCTGGTTCACAGAACTTCCGTAAGAAGCTTGTGCTGTGAAGTTGCAGGAAAGGCTGCAAAAACACTGGCAATATTGGAACTGGACCCTGAGGCTTAAAACTGTTTGCAGAGAGACAGCATGATTAAGGGAAAATCTATCTTTATTACTCATGTTTCCCAGGATCCTGGAGAAGCTTTTATCTCAAATACTGCTCAGCTAAATCTTTTTTTTTGCAGAGCAAGAAACGTAATACAAAGTTGCGCTTCAATACAGCTCATGAATCTAAAGCTTAGCTAAGCAGGGGTTTTTTATTTGTTTTCGTTTTGGGGTGTTTTGCGGTTGTTTGGTTTTTTTTGCATGCTGCCTAATTTGCTAGGAGTGGAATCTTTTTGTGTTTCCTTGAGAGGGCATTGTTAAGTTTCCATGTTTTTGTTAATTGTAAGAAGAAAAATGTTCTCAGCTAATTCTAACTCTTCATGGACTTCTAAAGAAAAAATAGTTTCTCATTTCCAGTCAGATGGCTGAAAGGAGGCTCTGCCAAGCTTAACACTTGCCTTCAAAAGTCTCCTTGCCAAAGTTGAAGAGTACCACACCAACATTTCCCCTGTAATCCTCATCAATAACACCAGCTGTCATAAGAAAGAATTAAGAGGGATATCAGTTAATCAGTGTTGTCAGTATATTAGATAAGTAGATTAGACAAGGTTTAGATTAGTAGATGATTGCAGTATCTCATATTAACATCCTTTATATTACTCATGCACAATTAAACAATATATATGAAAATACTGAAATATCTAAAAATGCTACTCAATCTTGCAAAAAGAACTGAAAAACACCATCACGTATCAAGAAGTGTTTTACCACTGTACTACTAATTTTAGCTGTAATACCCTATCTGAAATCAAGACAGCTGTACCAAATTCAGGCTCCATTTGTTCTGCTAACTTCAGCTCTTTGAGTGTCAAGCAGAAATCTGTTCTTAACTCTAACATTTTATTTGAGAGCTATGGATTTGCACAGATCCAAATCTCCTATCTCAGGCAGGCTAACAGAACTAAAGCTTTAAGGAATTGATTGTCATTCAGCTATGTTCAAGTGTAAATATTGTAAAACAAGCTTGCTTTTATAGTTTATATAACTGTATTAACGACATAGTTAAGGAGATTATCTACCAATACACGTTAAAATAATCATTCTGCTTCTTTGGGGTTTTTCTCTCTGATACAGGAAGCATACTTCCAGTAGAAAAACTGGAGTTTGGGCTTCCTTGTGGACCAAAGCATGTATTTTGAAGTCTACTTGCAGAAATAATTCTAATACTAAAATTACATGTCATTCCAAGCCATTCCCAGACTCATACATACAAAGTACTACCTTTGGAGATTATAAACACCAGAGGGAATTGTAGTATGACTATACCTTGAAGTTTTAATGTCGAACCACAACAGACACACTTAAGAATAGAAAACTGAGGGTTTTTTCTTAGTTTCTTTAGCTGTGTGAAAGTACTGCAGTACATACGGTCCACAGTTACTGTATGATCTCTGCACTAGGTCTAGAGTGAAAAACATATTTGTACAGCTCTCTTTCCCTTGTAATGTTATGGGTTAATCCAATCACATTTCTGAACAGCTTCCTAATTAAGGTGCTAGTAACACTGGGAGTATCCCCTGAGTTCTGAAAACTCAGAAAAACATGCAGTTCTCAAGTTGACTCACTGGTATTTAATGCATGCAATCGCTTAAAGGGACCCTAATTACAGAGCACCGTCAAAAGTAACAGTGAACAAAACATAGGGGTTGCTCTGCATGAGTGTTTTCCAGAATCAAAAAAATTATTAAAAAAATTCTTCAATGTAGCATTCAGTTCTGTTGATTCAGAGAGCTTGATGTACCGAAGCTACATGCACAGGTCCTATACTGTTTATTTGGTTTAAGTTAGAGCAGCTTTCAGAAAGTCAACTATGCATCAGCTAAATTGAGAATCACAGTACATCGCTTATATTGGTGACCACAGAGCTTTCTTGCACAATTTCTACCACAGCTCAATATTCAATTCAATACTTAAAAATATTAAAAATCAAATCCTATGCACACGTGTCAAATATATAAGCAAAAAAAGCTGAACTATAAAACAATAACATGAAAATTTTGCCTTCTTACTTCTAGCAAAGTACTATTCTTTCCTCCTTTTTAAAATACCAGATAATCTGGAGCCCTTACATAATTGCTAAACCAGGGGTGACACAAAGTGTTAGCTAAAGAGTGCTACTCAAATAATTTGCTTTGATTTATACAACAGTGGACACCGAGTCCATGCTACATAGATGCATTACAAAGAGAGATTCAACAAACTTGTAATGGCAGCACAAATAATTTTAAGCATCACTCAAGTTCTGCAGTCAGTTGCCCACTAATTTGGTGTATTTGTTCACATGAGTCAATCAGCTGGAGAGCTGAAAGCCAGAATTCATATTTGGCACAGAAAACTATGTACATATGCACATAAATGCATACAAAAGATCATTAGCTCTTCGGATAAATTCTTAATTTGACAAACCATTCTCAAGTGTTTCTGTACAGCTAAGACAACGTTTTTCCTAGACCATATGCTGGGATAGCTATTGCCATGCATTGGATTTTGATAATGGCATTTGCTAACTTAACATAACGAGGGCTAGTTTTATTTCTCTTATCAGAGCAGAATACTGTATTATATAACACAATACTCAAAACTGATTACTACAGATTACTAATTCTATTTAAATGGAGATTATGCTTTTATATGTATACAACGTACCCATTTAAGTAGTATGGTTAGATTTATACATGCAAGAAACTCTTGCATGTCACATCTTTGCTGGAATTATCTGAAGAAAATTTATAGAACAGAACTACTGGGGCTACTTAAAGTCATTCTAAATTAACTTTTTGGCTTTCATATCTCTGACAGAAAGCAAGTTTATTTCTACATGACAAAAATTGTACTCAATGTATTGGTTAGCGCTTAACCTTTTGATCTACCAGATGTTGCTGCTATTTTCTGGGAGGAAAACAAAAAGAGTATCTAAAACTTTGTACTGGAGTAACTGGAGCTTAATGGCACATTAGTACTTCTACCCCTTTTTAAACCCCAAACCTTTTTTTTTTTCTTTCTGAAAAGGAGTGTTATAATGGATCTATACTGATTTACAATGAATCTAGTCAGATGGCTTCCCTGACCTTTAAACAATGGCATTAGCACAATCTCAGCTTTATGTATAGACACCAAAATTTTTTTTACAAGTATTTGTTGAAAAGGCTGTCATCTAAACAGATACTTCTATGAACAGATAACAAATTCTTTTGACCACCTATTTTGACTACTGCTAGAGACTGGCTCCCTAGGATTTGAAAACTGTCTGATAACTAAAGATGGAAAAGACTGATGAATACTTCTGTGGCTGAACTGAAAACTTTAATCACTCGTATTATTGACTAGAGGGGGAAAAAACCCTCTCACTAAAACACTAATTTTCTAAGCTTAGCTATAAACACCTTGTAATGGTTCTACAGATTGTATTGGATGTATTTTCTAGCAGGCAAGAATTGCACTTCCTGCACACTTCTGAGGATGCAAGCTTTCCAGAGGATGCAGAGAGGAAGAGCAGGCTTCTTCCTTAAAAGCATACCTCATACAAACAGAACTTGCAATTAGAGTTGAAGTTATGTACTGAGAAAATAACATTTAAAAATGTTTTGTAGCCAAAACGATTAGTCTAATGCTGTGCTGAGTGACTGAAACACTGTCAAAGCCATGATAATTTCAAATTCCATTAAAGGCACAGCTGGGTAAAGATTTTGTGAAATGAATTTCCTACCCATCATTTCTCTTTAAAATATATTATACCTCCACTGACATAGTCTTACTGAGTTTAACCACCGTGTAGATCTTGAGTTCAAACTACGCTATTTGTATCAAAGAATATATGATCCTTGGAAGATACAGGAAAATATGATCCAGGAAGACCTGATCAGTTTTCCTTCTGTATAGGGTCACAAACTCACTCTATGTAACTGGGCGTACTGGCAAAACACGTTAACATCCTTGGCATTCTGTTATTCTGGAACAGCAAGTTGCAATAATTATATACGTTCCTGAGGACTAAGGCACTCTGCTAAATTATGTGTATTGGGTGGAAATCATCTAAGTAATTTTTGGAAAAATCATGCATTGGAATTGGCAGTCTGACATTCTGTCTTACTCTGTCAGAAGTTTGGCACGTTGCTTGTTGGGAAAGCATCCACACCTAGCAGATGTGAATTTTGAACATATTGTTACATGATCCCAATTTTTCTCCCTGACCCTTAGGACTTCTGGCAATGTGTTTTTACTTAAATGGATAATGCCCTCATTGTGACAAAAGTACTTCTGCAGGACAAGTTAAAATTATGTAACAATTGTTTTGGTTGGGTTTTTTTTTTTTGATAAGAAGTCCTCTACTAACTGTCAGTAGTTTTTACTCATGGTTTGTCAACTGTCATTTTTTTCAAAATCTGAACATAGGTCATCCTGCTAATCACTTCTGGTTGCCTTCTGGTATTTCCTAGTTTAACTTTCAGATTGAAAAGACTGTTGCAGAGGATATGTTATTTTTTCATATAAACAAAAAAATTGTTTTAGAAGCGTTGCTTTAAAGAACCACACTATAGTAGACAATGTGAACTACACAGAGTCATAGGGGTGTAGAGAATCTTTGATTCCCATCTTAGTGCTCTTTTGCATGTTACCCAGCAACCCTTAAAAAACCTTAGTGTAACAGACGTGCAAGAATCAATTCTTATTTAAGACAAAGCCTAAATGAAACAAAGCTGGCACAGATGTTCCCCTTTAACTTCTGATACCAGAACTGTATCACAAGCACAGCCAGACTTTGATATGCCATAAAGCAGACAGAATAAAGTAGTTCTGCAGCAGCTCTGAATTATACTGGAAATTGCTTTGCTTTTTGGCTGGCTTGGCATCAGAAAGAGAAGGATGCCTAGAGTCACCCTTCCTCACCTCTAGAGCCAAGCTGAATTTCTAATTCAGCAAGTAAAGGCTGAGTACCACTGCTCTAAGTACTCTCTCCTGTTTAACACTGGGGGGGAGGGAACAAACAGGAAGCCAACAAAACCAAAAAAAACCCAAAAACCTAGTGAAGAGGAAAAGGCCTCAACTTTTCAGCACGCTTTTCTTGTCAACTTCCATTATGACTCAAATTATCACGTGCTTGCAAAAAATGTGCTCTCTCGGCCATCCAGCACTTTTCAAGATACCCATTAGATGCATCTTCTTTATGTCATTACATCAGAAATGTAGGGTTTGGTTCTTTTACTACAATTTACTGCCAGAAAACCCAATTGCTTAGGGTTTTAGGAGGCAGACAACATTTTATTTAACTTAGAACTGTATTCTTATACAACTAGAACAACGTAATACACATTTAGTGCTAGTTAAATTGCTGTGGTTACAGCTGTGCTCAGAATAACTCCACAACAATCTTAGCGGTGAGAACTTCTGTGCAATGTAGACGCCATTTTGTAATACAATACTTAGAGAATCTGCCTGTGCTCTGATCAGCCCTGCTGCAAGGCTGGAATTGAACTTTCAACATCATTTACTTCATGTTGCAGTTACAGGGATATGGCAAAAGGACAGTGAGGCTTTCATGAAGGCTTCTGATTACAGATATGCCTATAATAATTGTTTTTTAAGAGATATCTGTGAATTTCTAATCAAGATTAAGGAAAAGCTCAAAATATTTAAAAAAACCCCACCCTGTTCAAAACAAATCTGTTGCTAGTACTGAACAAAAAAATCCAGTAAAGACTTGTAGAAAGTGGGATTTTAGTTTTATTTCTGTTTCAAAAGACTTTCAATTTTTAAGTCAATTAATGTACAAAGTTACGAGTTTAAATTTCATTTGCTTTACATAATTTGTTACATTTTCATCAGTAAGAGTAAAGCTTTTGTTCTGAATAATCAATTCTACCCACAGTAATGGTGTATTCCAGTGCTTTCTATCATTCCTTTTGAATATCATTACTATATATTCTCTGCGTAAAAGAATATCTGTATGTTATTGATTGAATTCATTCAGATCTTACACTAGGCTGAAAAGAATCACGCATAGATGCTTAGTCAAAACGGAGAAAGCAGAATGTAAAAAGTCATCTTTAAAGCCTAAACCAAAAAATAACTTCTATGCCAGGTACTGCCTACAAAAGTATGACACAGTTGTTATTTTCAAAAATCAGTAATATTTTTATAATTTAGCAGGTTTTAAAATAATTATGACACACTGGCTCTCTGAGGTATTACCCCGTTATCTCCTTTTGCCAGACTACCAATGAAGCTAGCATTATCTATTTACACATATTACAATGTGAAATTAAGGCAATTCTGCAATCAAGATTTACAAAGTCTTAGTAAAAAGAACAAAAATCTTACCACCAACATCTATGAAGTGCTTTGCAGCTAAACCAGAACGCGGTGCTAGAAAACAAGAATTTTTTTGTAAGTATAATAATTTATTTCCTCTAAAACTCTTACATGATATTTATAGGTTAGATAGTGTGTTTGCACAGAGTTGTGGCAGCAAGAACTGTTTCCACAGTCTTTCTAAAATAAACACGATTTTACAGGAACTACTGTAACTGTTAATGTATATGTTAAACAAAATAACAGCTGCTACAGGCTACAAAGAAATTGCAATCTTTAAGTGATATAAGCATATCTTTGTTTAGACCACCAATTGCAGAGTAGGTTTCTCCAAGGAAGGCGGCTGGAGCAGACGATGACTATCTAAATCTTGGTTTATTTTTGGCAGCTACCACTGGTTTGGAATAATCCCAAAAGACTATTAGGTCAATCCATTCAAGTTACAGTGGAAAACAATATTTGGGAAGCAATTTACTAAGAAATATTATACACAGATAAATTAAATGATGTGCAGGTTTAGGTTTTTTGGGTTTTTTGCTTACCTTAGCCTACTTTGATGAGGAGCTAAAATGTTACTCTCTTCAAAATTTTGTCTGGGATAAGAGAAATGCACAAGCATTCTCCTTTTAGATGAAAGGATACGGCAAACTGATCATGCTCTTCCACTGGAGTGGCTATTGCTTTTTCTGCTTTAAGAATTTATACATAATTCAGAAAACTAATGCGCAAAACATAACAAAATATCTTGTATAGGTTCTCTCAAGTATTCTGTCACAAAAAGTAGTCAAATTCTGCTACGCTAGTACTCTTACTTCAGGGTTAATTTTTAAACATCCAGGGGTGTATTTTCGGTATGTCCATTACCTATTGGTCTTTGTGATTTGAATTCTGAAACTGCAGAGAAATAACAAACTATTGCATAGCCTATAAAGTTGTATGCAGATTATGAATTTTGCTGATCATCTTTTTGCCATTTGACATACACCAAACCTCAAATGTATTTGACAAGAAATGTCTATTACGAGGCTTAATAAATCATACAGCCACGTGACACCTCTTTTTTGTGTACACTAATTCTGAAAGCTTTCGGCAGAATCTAAATGTGAAGATGGCGTCACACCTGTTCTACAATGACTCTGCAGCCTTTTTACAGCCTGTTTACTTACCTACTCGACCATAGCATCCAGAAGGAAGTGCAATTTGAATGTCTGTTTTCACTACAGCCTTTTCCATGGGTGGTATCACACAGTCATAGGCACTACATTAAAGAAAGAAACACTAGTTTATACAGAACACTTTGAAATTTTTCTTCTCTGTAACTTAAGGTACAAAATTATCCAGAATTATTCTTGATGGGAATTTATACCATAGAATTTATTCAAGAATTACTTACAGATTTGCAAAATCTAATGCAGATCCTAAACCACAAGATATTCCCATTGTGATGGCGCTAGCTTAAGATTTCAGTAGTGTCATTTGAACAGCATAGTCTTAAGACTGCTAGTTTTAAATGTTTTTTAACTGGTAAGATAGACAAAAAAAATACAAGTTTAACTTTAAATTAACCATTAGGTGAATGGGGTTGTGCAATTTTTGTGCAAAAGCAGAAACTTTAAGGGTAATACACTCTTCTAATTAAGCTTTCTACAGCAGATGAAATAGTTGTAATCAAAACCAATAATCTATTAAGTTAAATTTTAGGCAACAATGTTGTTTTTCTGAGCAGGTCAGAAGTTCACGATTCACATGATTCTGTTGGGAACTGCAAACGAGAGAGATTTTAAGAACTTTTCTGAAGCTACCCAACTGGAGGCTTAATGAAAGGCAGTGATGACAATACCACAGTGAGACTGTTCTGCTTGTTTAAGGCAAGCATATATTGGCCTTGACGAAGAACTGATTTTTAAACACTGGGAAGCATTGAAAGGCTTTTTATGAAACGGACTTTTTCCGGGTGTACAGTGCACCACTGGAAAAAGAACAAAAACAAACCTGGTAAGACAAAAGGAACACAAACGAAAAGTGTCAAGCCGGGTGAAGCAAAGCTTCAGGAAGGAAGTCAGATAGGCGAAGGAAGAAAAAGACAGGCTGATTATTCTAAGTCATACTAAAAAAGGGAAGCTAGAGGAGGTCAGAGTGCAGTTCAGATATAACTAGTGATTGTACTTGATCAAAGAAGCACTATGCGAACAACCACAAGCCTAGCTGCAGATACTCCTGAACATAGTGAAAACCTTTGAACAATGGTTATTATCAGTTCAAGCAAACCAAAACCTAAGCCTGTACAGCAACACATGGTTTCCAGCTAGGAGCATTATCAAACTGCCAGAACTCCCTTTGGCAGGCAGGACCCAAGAGCCAAGAGGAAAGCAGAAAAGCCTAAGCGCTGGTAGGGAGAGCCCACATGCACTACCATTTTTTTGTTTCAATAGGAAGGCACCCAGTCAATGCTGGCGCCAACAGCAGCTCAGGCTGATGTGTCAAGCCTGACTTTTGGCCAACGGCTGCATCGCTACCTGATGAAATCGGTGCTGCAGCGTGACTGGACCACAGATCTCTGGAAACGAAGGGAGAGGGATGGAGGAGCACGGGAGCTAACGAACAGGCCAGCTCTGGCCTCCTCTTCTGCAGGGCCGGCGAGCCTCTCCGGGGGGCTCCGCTCAGTAAGAGGACCTGCCTCACGAAGGCCCGGGCCTCCGGGGGCTGAGGCCGTCGGAGCCCCGGGCCAAGGGGCTCACCGAGCGGGGCGGCAGCGCCTCTCCCCGAGACGAAACGGGCCGGGACGGCCCGGGGCGTGGCGTGGGGTCCCCTCACCTGTATAGATCGTAGCCCGCAGCCCGAGCAGAGCCCCTGGAGGGGGCGGAGGCGTTTTCGGACAGCTTAGTGAAGCGGAGCCGTGCGGTGGGCTCCCTGGGTACCGAGCCCTTCTGCCTCTTGCTGGGGGATGGCTGCAGAACGGCCTCGGAGGGCATCGCTGAGCGGGGACGGGAAAGCGAGAGACCCGCTGTGAGGGGACAGGGAAAAGCCCGCGAAAACCGGCACGGCCCACTGAAGGCGGAAACAGAGGGGGAAACGGCTCCATCCCCCGCCTCTCTCTGCGCGGTGCACCCTCGCCGGTGAGAATGGCCTCGCCCGGCTCCTCCCCAGCGCCCAACTCCCCGGGCCCTCGCTGAGGGGTCCCTCGCGGC